TAGCATCCTGTGAATGAGCTGCCGTGGCTGTGTCCCTATCCTCTGTGCGTCAAATAGGACCGAACCGATACTTGCTACATCTTGAAAGTCGCAAACGGCAAAGCGAGCTTACACCGAGATAACTGACAATTGCGATGACAGTAACTTGAGATGCATTTTCTCACCGTTGTGCATTTCTATTTGAGATCTAAGAACGGTCAACATGTTTAATAGGGCCTATACATCGGAAAAGTACTCAGATTTGATGCATTATCTGAAAAGCTCTCTTTTTGATTTCCAGAATGATTGAACTAAAAAATTTCAACTTCACGACCATAAAAGTGGGAAGCATTTATGTTTCTCTACTCTCTCACTCACTGAATTTGCTGTGCACTTACTTTGTAAATTACTCGTTTTTTATGTAACTCTGTTTTAAAAAAGTCAAAAAAAGCGGATATGAACTGCAAAAAGTGCGAGTGAAAATAATCCTAACACCACGTAAAGGAAATAAGAAGTGCCTAGTATATGATTCACACTGTTTTTTGACATGTCTTACTTAAAATGAGAATTTTTCGACTGTTCTCAACATGCAATGGGTCGCTCACTTTGTTGAATCAAATAAACAACAAAATGAGAATAACAAAACACAAACATCTTCAATCAAACACCGGTCTGCTATATAAATTATATACAGGACGTAGACTATGTACTGAACTATATATCTATATGTAACATAATATGCATGATAAATATAGAACTTGATTTTCAGATCACGTTGAAAAAAAAGATGGCACATTCTTTTGCATTTCTACTATTCAAAAAAATGCCTCATCACTGTATATCCGCCAATAGAAATTCTGTTACGTACCTCAACCAGGATATAGTTAAAATCGTACCTGTTAATTTGACCGTCCAATGATACTCTAACAATTTCTTTAATTGAACTTAGATAAAAGTCTGAATAAAAATTATTTTCTTTTAAGCTTGCTTCCAGAATTCCAACCAATCTGATTAAAGTTAGCCGCAGCTTGCGCTAAGCGTATCCTAACTGAATATAGACTATATTTATCAGTACAGAATATATATAAAGACTGACATTGAATAAAACAGAAAAAAAATTCTCTTGCGTATCCTTATCCAAACAGAAGTGATTGAAGCATTGTTTGTCAAAAATTAACTATGTTATTTCTCAACCGGTGCATGATTTTAGGTTTTTTTTATAGCTTGATAACGAAAAAATTAGATTTTTCAAAGCATTTTCTATCATGTCATTTGATTTGAGTATCTTTTCAGATTTAAGACAGTCATCAAATGAATAGCACACCGACGGAAACCAATACAACAAAAAAACACGAAGACGGCTACATATCAGCCGAAAGAAAACTACCGAAAGCTGGATATAATCACGATACGTTTAGAGTCATGTATAAAGATTATGATGAAGATATTGACTGTGGGATTGCCGAATTATTATTGGAGATATGGAGATTCGGGCTGTCTACTCACAATTCATGTGAGTGTCATGGTGATTTCAACGAGATATGGATTCAATTTGCATCAGAAGATGATTTAATGGCATTCGTGAATGCAGTAGCCGAAGATTACAAAATGGACGAACTTAAGTTTAATCATGTTTTGCCGAGGTTCAGATATGGTATTCAAATAGTTGATGATAATGAAGACTATTTAGAGAATGATGAACCTATTCACAAAGGTGATCGTCCATGTTATGCTCCATTTGGCTACTCTATTTCGTTCAATCGCGATCATTATCCTATGGTATTAAATCAAATAAAAAAAGCAAAAGAGAAAGCTAGTTTAGCATAGCTTGTTTAGGAAAGATATTTTTTGTTATACCACATTTCGGTTTTATAATAAAAAAAGATCTCTCTCATAACACCACATCTTGCAATACCAGTGACGGTGTTACCAACACGGGAAATGTTATCAACAAAGTAAAGGAATATTTTGAGCGACTTGATGTATTTTCATTACAGAGGTACAGAATCATAAGGGGCTGTAACAAATTCAAACTGAGGATAGAATTGCCTGAGGATATGCGAAGAAAGAGAGAAAAAATTATTTACTATTAGTAAAGTAGAAATTCAAAGCATCCGTTTACAATGGTGGCAACTAAGACAGTGAGAGGGTGAATATGATACATAATCACTTCCGACCTGGTGATGTTATACAGAAAAGCAAGAATGGGACTGAGTAGGTCATTAGTGTGAGAAAAACATTGCTTGATATTTTCGTCAGACACTTGTTCGATTATGTGTTAATCCTAGTTTGTAGGACTCATTTCCCTCACCATAGCACACCAAAAACCAATATTGATGACGTCCCATAATCAATTCGACCTCTTCAAGCTTCAGTTGCATTTACATATTTACGTGCCTGAAATAACATTTACTATCTACAGAATAATTTTGAATGAAATACCCATCAGTAAACAGTCTTGTTTTTAAATCTACACTTTATTTGCAACAATGCAGCATGCCACGTTCACAGAGAAAAATAAACAAATTAAATGTATTTGCACGATGAACCTGTTTGTAACACTTGCAAGTACTGTTTTTCGGAACTGTTTTTCTGTCAAGTTCGCCCATGTACCCGGATGTACAGTCGTGGCAAAAATTATTTGTACGATCAGTGTTTGCTCATAATTCTGTGACCAAGGTGTTTTTTAGAATTGTGAAACTACCAGGAGATTACCCGTTCGCTCCACTATCTAGTCAAATTTTGCAATCTCTAGGCCTTTTGCATCTAGACTGATGACTATAAACAATAGAGGCCTATGTTTTTTTGGCAAAAATTATTTGTACGATTATAAAAATCTTTCTTTACGCTGTATCAGCACCGACAAAATATGAAAACTACATCAATGAATAGAAGAGAGCGCAGGCTACATTTTAGTAAAAAAATAATTTTGTAAAGCTCTTTCCTTAGGGCGAAAACGAGACTTTAAGTGCCATACTCTTCAGTGTGACTGCTCCATCTCAGGTATGAGTGGCTGAAAAAAACATTCTAATAACTGCGTAAGAAAACGGTTGATTTAAAATTTTACGAAACAAATTTGACCCAGTTTTTCATCTGTTTGTTACGAACCCCGTTCAAAGCATCCCCATTTTTGCAGGTTCTTAACTTTTTATCATTTTCTTTATGTTTTTCATCAAAATCAATAACATATTCACAATTATATTTCAATGAAAAGACCTCTGGTTCGTTAGAAAAAGATCTTCGAAAAACCGGATTTTCTAGAAATCCTAGTAGACCTTAAAGTTCATTCCTAAAATTTTTCAACCGCTTCATTAGACAGCTCATTCAATTCTCTACAAAATAAGATATCAGCCAAGTTTCTATAATGTTCTTTAAAACAATACCACAGAAAATACGATGGCGGTCGGAAATTCCGTAGTAAAACAAGCTTTTGAAGACTGAATGAGAGTAATGTTATAAACCCTATAACTCAGTTGTCCAGTATCGTAGAAACTTGGCTAATATCTCATTTTGTAGAGAATTGAATGAGCTGTCTAATGAAGCGGTTGAAAAATTTTAGGAATGAACTTTAAGGTCTACTAGGATTTCTAGAAAATCCGGTTTTTCGAAGATCTTTTTCTAACGAACCAGAGGTCTTTTCATTGAAATATAATTGTGAATATGTTATTGATTTTGATGAAAAACATAAAGAAAATGATAAAAAGTTAAGAACCTGCAAAAATGGGGATGCTTTGAACGGGGTTCGTAACAAACAGATGAAAAACTGGGTCAAATTTGTTTCGTAAAATTTTAAATCAACCGTTTTCTTACGCAGTTATTAGAATGTTTTTTTCAGCCACTCATACCTGAGATGGAGCAGTCACACTGAAGAGTATGGCACTTAAAGTCTCGTTTTCGCCCTAAGGAAAGAGCTTTACAAAATTATTTTTTTACTAAAATGTAGCCTGCGCTCTCTTCTATTCATTGATGTAGTTTTCATATTTTGTCGGTGCTGATACAGCGTAAAGAAAGATTTTTATAATCGTACAAATAATTTTTGCCAAAAAAACATAGGCCTCTATTGTTTATAGTCATCAGTCTAGATGCAAAAGGCCTAGAGATTGCAAAATTTGACTAGATAGTGGAGCGAACGGGTAATCTCCTGGTAGTTTCACAATTCTAAAAAACACCTTGGTCACAGAATTATGAGCAAACACTGATCGTACAAATAATTTTTGCCACGACTGTACATCCGGGTACATGGGCGAACTTGACAGAAAAACAGTTCCGAAAAACAGTACTTGCAAGTGTTACAAACAGGTTCATCGTGCAAATACATTTAATTTGTTTATTTTTCTCTGTGAACGTGGCATGCTGCATTGTTGCAAATAAAGTGTAGATTTAAAAACAAGACTGTTTACTGATGGGTATTTCATTCAAAATTATTCTGTAGATAGTAAATGTTATTTCAGGCACGTAAATATGTAAATGCAACTGAAGCTTGAAGAGGTCGAATTGATTATGGGACGTCATCAATATTGGTTTTTGGTGTGCTATGGTGAGGGAAATGAGTCCTACAAACTAGGATTAACACATAATCGAACAAGTGTCTGACGAAAATATCAAGCAATGTTTTTCTCACACTAATGACCTACTCAGTCCCATTCTTGCTTTTCTGTATAACATCACCAGGTCGGAAGTGATTATGTATCATATTCACCCTCTCACTGTCTTAGTTGCCACCATTGTAAACGGATGCTTTGAATTTCTACTTTACTAATAGTAAATAATTTTTTCTCTCTTTCTTCGCATATCCTCAGGCAATTCTATCCTCAGTTTGAATTTGTTACAGCCCCTTATGATTCTGTACCTCTGTAATGAAAATACATCAAGTCGCTCAAAATATTCCTTTACTTTGTTGATAACATTTCCCGTGTTGGTAACACCGTCACTGGTATTGCAAGATGTGGTGTTATGAGAGAGATCTTTTTTTATTATAAAACCGAAATGTGGTATAACAAAAAATATCTTTCCTAAACAAGCTATGCTAAACTAGCTTTCTCTTTTGCTTTTTTTATTTGATTTAATACCATAGGATAATGATCGCGATTGAACGAAATAGAGTAGCCAAATGGAGCATAACATGGACGATCACCTTTGTGAATAGGTTCATCATTCTCTAAATAGTCTTCATTATCATCAACTATTTGAATACCATATCTGAACCTCGGCAAAACATGATTAAACTTAAGTTCGTCCATTTTGTAATCTTCGGCTACTGCATTCACGAATGCCATTAAATCATCTTCTGATGCAAATTGAATCCATATCTCGTTGAAATCACCATGACACTCACATGAATTGTGAGTAGACAGCCCGAATCTCCATATCTCCAATAATAATTCGGCAATCCCACAGTCAATATCTTCATCATAATCTTTATACATGACTCTAAACGTATCGTGATTATATCCAGCTTTCGGTAGTTTTCTTTCGGCTGATATGTAGCCGTCTTCGTGTTTTTTTGTTGTATTGGTTTCCGTCGGTGTGCTATTCATTTGATGACTGTCTTAAATCTGAAAAGATACTCAAATCAAATGACATGATAGAAAATGCTTTGAAAAATCTAATTTTTTCGTTATCAAGCTATAAAAAAAACCTAAAATCATGCACCGGTTGAGAAATAACATAGTTAATTTTTGACAAACAATGCTTCAATCACTTCTGTTTGGATAAGGATACGCAAGAGAATTTTTTTTCTGTTTTATTCAATGTCAGTCTTTATATATATTCTGTACTGATAAATATAGTCTATATTCAGTTAGGATACGCTTAGCGCAAGCTGCGGCTAACTTTAATCAGATTGGTTGGAATTCTGGAAGCAAGCTTAAAAGAAAATAATTTTTATTCAGACTTTTATCTAAGTTCAATTAAAGAAATTGTTAGAGTATCATTGGACGGTCAAATTAACAGGTACGATTTTAACTATATCCTGGTTGAGGTACGTAACAGAATTTCTATTGGCGGATATACAGTGATGAGGCATTTTTTTGAATAGTAGAAATGCAAAAGAATGTGCCATCTTTTTTTTCAACGTGATCTGAAAATCAAGTTCTATATTTATCATGCATATTATGTTACATATAGATATATAGTTCAGTACATAGTCTACGTCCTGTATATAATTTATATAGCAGACCGGTGTTTGATTGAAGATGTTTGTGTTTTGTTATTCTCATTTTGTTGTTTATTTGATTCAACAAAGTGAGCGACCCATTGCATGTTGAGAACAGTCGAAAAATTCTCATTTTAAGTAAGACATGTCAAAAAACAGTGTGAATCATATACTAGGCACTTCTTATTTCCTTTACGTGGTGTTAGGATTATTTTCACTCGCACTTTTTGCAGTTCATATCCGCTTTTTTTGACTTTTTTAAAACAGAGTTACATAAAAAACGAGTAATTTACAAAGTAAGTGCACAGCAAATTCAGTGAGTGAGAGAGTAGAGAAACATAAATGCTTCCCACTTTTATGGTCGTGAAGTTGAAATTTTTTAGTTCAATCATTCTGGAAATCAAAAAGAGAGCTTTTCAGATAATGCATCAAATCTGAGTACTTTTCCGATGTATAGGCCCTATTAAACATGTTGACCGTTCTTAGATCTCAAATAGAAATGCACAACGGTGAGAAAATGCATCTCAAGTTACTGTCATCGCAATTGTCAGTTATCTCGGTGTAAGCTCGCTTTGCCGTTTGCGACTTTCAAGATGTAGCAAGTATCGGTTCGGTCCTATTTGACGCACAGAGGATAGGGACACAGCCACGGCAGCTCATTCACAGGATGCTAGCTTGGGTCTAGTAAGCAACTGATATTAGAGATAGTATCTATGGATAAGCATTCTCTCATCCAATTATGAAACACTTCTGTTACGATGAATTACTCGAATGATTTTGTTTGCGAATGGCGCGTAAAATTTCGAAAACTATAAATAAAAAAGAATTGAGCAAACGACTACAAAATGATCCGTTTACGGTGTACATGAGTTTGCTCTTATTTCAAGTTTCTATGCACAAAATAACTACTTCTACAGATAATTTGTGTTACAGAATTACTTTTCTGCAGGCAATATCCTCTGCCAAATGACCCACGTATTGCTAAATACTTATTATCACGGTCAGTTTTTGTAGGTTTTCAAATAACCTTTGTGGAAGTTGATAATGAGTACTTGTGCTACGACATTTTATTAGGCGAAAATACAGCCGTCAAAACCGTTTTTGAATGTTTGAATAGCATACATGATAATCGTCAAAACAATGATGGGACTCAGAGTTTGCAGAGAATGTGTCTCTAATGCTGGTTGAAGCTCCATGGAATTGCCCGATTGATAAAATTGCATTTTATTGATTATTTAATCTAAAGGTGGGCCGCCAGTTGTGACATCTACATATTTTAAACAAAGCGTTTTTAAAAATGTTTTATTTTAAACATACGTCTGATACAGACCTACATACGATATAAATATCAGCTCAATCCGTGATGTCAACAGCCAGCATCTGCCTGACCTATTACATAATGGCTCTTAAGAAGTAATATGGCATCGCTATCATTTGTACTGATGATAATTTAAAATTTCTTGACTGGTGTAAACATTCTCGAGCACCATAGTCAAGAGCTAGTAAATAGAGTACGGAAAAAGATTATAAGGCAGGGTACAATCCTGAATTTGTGCGTTCATTTTTTTTCTGTCGGAAATGTACTCAAAGTAAATAATAAACATATGAATGGATGCATTCGAGTATGCTCTTTCCGAATATCCTATTGAAAATATTTCACAACATTTAGTTCTTTTAAAAAATAATTTTCCGCAAAAACGTCACGTTTTATCTTGGAAAAAATTATGAGATCACAAAAAGTATTACCTTCTTATTCGTATCCTACTCAATTTTTTTCAAGATAAATTATGCTATATGAAAGCGCGTTTCATGAGCTTCAATCTAGAAAACAAATAATTGAAAAATTATGCTTTCATGGATTTAAATTAGAATTTTAACAAATACCACTGTTAAATTTCAAAAAGTAAAATAAAATATTTCAGTTTATCAATCATTTTTTCTGTTTTCAATGTATCATTCGAAAGAGCGTGGACTGAGTACTACTGATGTACTTTGATATTTAACCATGTGATTTTGAGTAGCTTCAGAAAAAGTTTTACCCTCGCAGCGAAAAAATACGTTTTCGTTATTTTCCAGCGGCTTTG